TGGCTCACATTGGTTAGGGTGCAGACTTCATTTTGTCATTTAGTGTTGCCCAAATTACTTCTCGTTTTTTTCCTTAGGTGATGTTGGATCCATCGCTGATTAAGACTAAAACTTTGGAAAGAGCTGCCAAAGAAGTTTCCAAAGCCAAGGTAAAATTACATAGCGAAAGTCTTGTTATTTTGGATACAGCATCATATTTTATAAAGTGTAGTGTGTAATATTACGAGTATTTAAATTTAACGTACAGGAGTCAAAATAAAACACTGAAAATGAATAGTGTAAAACTGTGCACGCGATATCAACAATCAAAATTTCTAATGGACGGACGATTAACAAAATCGGACGACGGCGAAGCGGGTATGATTACCGGCTAAATTGAGCTATTTGTCTTATTAACAAGTCTTATTAACAATTACCAATTAATCATAGGTATAACATAAACTGAGAAAAAAAGCCAACAAGAGTTACTTTTTGGCGAGTAACAGTGTAGTCGAATTATCTTCCCCAGAGGTCCACTAGTTTGGATTGCTGTGAAAACCCTGAACGAAATTCTTGTACTCTTCTTTTTTCACAGCAACAAGAGCAACATGGAGCCCTTCTTAACTACTTCTTTGAAACTTGCGCCTGCAAGATTCCTGCGGTCAGGTGAGAGCTTTTAGCACGCGTGTGATCAGGAAATATGAACCCCACCCCACCCCCGCAAAAAGCCCCTCTCCAAAATAAAGGACAAAGCGGAATCACAAAGACCGGCAATGAACCATCAATAATTTTCTGATGCTTAAGCAAATTTTCAAAACTGATTCTGCTGTATATGTATGGCAGTTAGTTAAGAGTTTAATTTTCTTCGATCCTTTTAAGCTTAACGGCCACTTATTTTCCGGTTCGTTTCTCAGGGACTACATTCTTGACCTGTTGGAAAGCGGCCGCAAGTTTCTAGTGTTTGCCCATCACAAAGACATGCTGGACGCCATTTGCAATTGTCTCACACAGAAGGTAAGGTAAAGTGGAAACCCGCCTTACGGTCACTTCGTCATTACGGCCAGTCTTTTTTATCACGGCGAAACGCCCATACATTTTCTCATAAGAAAACCCCGTTAATGCGGTCACCCCGTTAATACGGCCAACGGCCGCATTCTGAAATCAGAACCTGTGTAATCCTTTGTAATTTTACCCCGTAAATACAGCCACTCGAATCAATTATGTTCATCTTTTCATGGTTAATATTGCATGTACTGATTGAAGTTTCAATTTTGTAACAATTATATCTGCATTTCGCCGGAATGCTCATTAAAGAACAGTTGTTTAGAAGTGCAATTCTAGTATATCCGTGAAGATGTCACTTAAAGTAGACCAGTCATGAAATTTGACCCTACCTTGTTAATACGGCCACCCCATTAACACCGCCAAATTTTCGTGGCCCGTTGGTGACCGTATTAACGGGGTTCCACTGCACATGTGACACAAAGTGTACCCCCTCCCCCCCTTCCCCTCTCCCCATAGGGTCAGGAAAGGAAAAAAGCTCCTCCAGGCTAAATTTATTGTTCTCTCTTTTAGAAGTACGATTTCATACGTATTGATGGCAGCACACCAGCAGCCATCCGTCAGAGTTTGTGTGATAAATTCCAGCAGAACAAGGAGTGCTTGGTAGCCGCCCTCTCGATAACCGCCGCGAATACAGGTACAGTATGGCGAGTTTGGTTTTTTCCATCGTATTTTTTCACAAGTAATGCACACGATTGGAATTCATACATGAACTGATGATAGGGCTGAAAGCAAACCCTGACTTTTTGATAAACTCTGTTCTGGNCTACGCCGTGATTGGCGCGTTGCAGGCGTTTCTTGATCAATCACAGAAGTCAGTAACCTTTAATTAAATTGTACTCGTAATTGGAATTAGTCGTTTATTCTGGTTTTTGTTTGTGTTGTTATTAGGCTCTAGTCCAGGCGGAAGACCGTGTGTATAGAATTGGTCAGAAGAATGCAGTAAATATCCACTACTTAGTGGCTAAAAAGACCGCAGATGACTACCTCTGGTACGAAGTAACATTTCACGCAACATTTAGTTAAGAATTAAGGCTAGTTCGCACTAGCTACATAACGACATATGTCGTTATGTCGCTAGTGTGAACATCCTGATATAATGACAATAACCACATAACAGCATGAACTTAAAAAGACTGAACTTTTCCTATGTCTTTATGTCGATGTTCACATTATCGACAGAAGCGATCATGTCATTATGTCGCTAGTGTGAACCAGGCCATAACCTCCTGACAAAGGTGTTAACAAGACAGTAGTTGATGTTTCGTGCAATTTTGTTACAACACGAACACAGGGTGGAATTAACGTTAACTTACTTGAAATTAAATAAACGTGTCTTGTATCGTTTTCTTCGGCGTAATCTTCAAGTTCAGAGCTTGGCTAGGTACGTTTTGTAGCGTCGCTCCAAACATAATCTTGAAGCGTTGCATTGTTGCCAGTTGTTACGACGGTCTAGCACGTGACTCGCTTAATTTCGCCATTGCGAGTCTAGCAATATAGATGAAACATTTTGGAGGGTAATACTCCCCGAATAAAAAACACTGAAGAAGCTCGAGTTAACGTAAATGTTTGTCCAGGGAGATCACGAATGACCCTTAAAGGAGTTCGTAATTAATGTATCAAATTATATTACTAAAAAGGGAAAAAAGTATACTAACTGCGCAACGATGGCCCTTAAGAGAGACTGAAGATTTTCGCGATAATTTTTATGTGATAACGATAACTTTTTCCTTCTCCAAGTTAGTCGCTTGATTGTATGGATATTGGGTGACTCTTGCTTTATCTTTTAGTTAATTTTTTTTCAGGCCATTGATTCAAAACAAGCTGGAAGTGCTGGGTAAAGCAGGTCTTTCCGAGGATGTGTTAGAGGCCGACTGCACATTCTTTAAGGTATTGATAACATTTTCCAAACATGGAAGCTCGCTAACTTACTGTATGTGAATTCATGCCGGCGGGAATTCATACAATCTATCGTTTGGTGTTTTGTTTGTGAAGAGAAAGGGGAAAGGAAGAGAGGGGTTTTTAAGAGGGAGAACAGCTTAATGAAGTTTTTGTCGAACGGTGCACAGTTGGCAAAAAGTCAAGGCAGTGGTCTTTCAATTTGACAGTTTCGTGTACATGTCTGCCAATGTAAATTTGTATATTTGCCGTTGTCCATATTTTTGGCCATTGTAGAGAACTGGAGGACTACATACATTCAACGTGAGATCCTGAGTGACCCGTCTTTCTATAATACACGTTGCCTAAACTTATTTCAGGACTTCTCTAGTGTCAGATAAATTCCATTTTTTGTTTGCGAAATTAACGACTTTTTCTCTCGTTTTCTGCATAGGACCCGAAACAACAGACCTTGTTTTCTTTTGTTGAGTCGTTTGTGGAGGATTACGCGGTCGATCACTCCACAAAATTGTCCGAAACTGTGCCCTCTATATGTGCTGACAGTAATCTGAACTTCAAAACTGATCCGAAAGCTGTTACTATGGAAACAAAGAATTCGAAAGATAGCGATTCTGCAGGCGGAAGTGACATAAGAAAACGGACGAAACCTGAAGGCGATGCTTCAGAGACCGGAAGTGAAACTGTTGGTGCGATTGATGACAATTTTGATTGGTTTGATGGCATGGCAGATGATGACTTCATTATTGATGGTCTGCAAGGTCATATTACTAGTTGTAACGATGAACAGTCTCGGTCGAATTCTTCAGCCTCAACTGAACCTTCTGCTAAGAGATATCGAAGATAAAAATACTGGCTGGTGTGTAATTCAGAAGTATTGGGATCAAAGGCGGTCAATGAACTTTAGACGACTTTGAAGACGAAACACACTTACAAACTTTAGAAAACAGCCCCAAGGAAATACGCGCGCTGATTGTTTAAAAAATCGTGTTTCTATAACTCGATGGAAACACAGAATTAGCACGAGCTGTTGACGTAACGATGGCGCGAGCAAAGAGAATTTACATTTTGATGATTAAAGTAAACAAGCTGTTTTTATTTTTTTCGTCGCGGTGTTTTCTAAAAGAAATAGAAAACATGTACATGCTTTCTATTTCTTAAATACAGTTGACTTTAGAAACCAATAATCCCATCTAGCGAAAAGCGCTTCAAAATTAGTAAAATAGCCAACTTTGTGAGTCTTATCTTGAAACCATAGTTTTGTAAAGCCGGGAGGGCAGCGACAGTTTTCCTCTTGTGGGAGGTCCGTTTTTACGAAAACGTACTGTTGTCGTAACATGTTGCATGAAATTCAGCTGGGTTGAATTCCTGCCTCATGAAGCAGGGACAAAATGAACTCAATTTTCAATATCGTATCATGTGCACTACCATTGCAAATTGTCGCCGTTACAACATAGAAGTAAACCAATAATATCCTCCTGGTGTGCACCAGTTTACGTACTGTCTCTGCACCACGCATGCGTCATGCGTACACATGGCGTTGCCTGTCCCCGCTTCACTACCTCATAACATCTCTGCTAGTATGTGCTGACCTTAGGGACACGCTCAGTAACGTCTTTGTAGAACCACATTGCCGTTAAAATGCGTGTAGAGGTTTTTCTAGCGATGCTGATATATAGAGTTTCGTCACGTGGCCAATATCTAATGTTGGAGTAGTCTATGTGTGTTATACACCACAAGAAATATTGAAACATTATTGTTTTGTACATATAATTTCTCCCGCAAACCAAAGAAAGAGTGAAAATAATATCATACCAAGGTAGAAATATATCAAAGAGTTAACAATAAAACAAAAAGGAACAAGGATTGTTAATATTAGGAAAGAAAAAAAAAAATGACAAGCCACGAGTTTCCGACATTTAGGCTGAATTTAGTTAAATGTGTGATGTGCAGGGTCACGGTGTACCATTTAACAAATTGACGTCAGTTTTTTTTGCGTCTGTTCTCTTATTGATGATAAATAGCATCATAACATTGTCAAACTGGCTGTGGAACCACGAGCCGCGGCGAGTGGTTCCGTAGTAAACTTTGACAAGGTTTTGACGAAATTTATCATCAATAAGAGGACAGACGCGTAAAAAAACTGACGTCAATTTGTTTTTTTACAATAACAAGACCCCAAAATGGACAAATGTCGGGAATAAATGAGGGGAAAAGACGCCGTAAACTTGCCGTAAACAAAGATAAGTGAATTTTATTCAAAATCACGCGAACATTGTCAATAGCTTTTCTCGCTTTTTGATTGGCTTCTTAAAAAAAGTCCATAAAATCTCTTTGTTTAAAAAGTTGACAGTTTGACAGCTGGAAGTTGAACTTGAAAGCGTGCATAAATTAATTTTTTTCCGCCTGTACTCTTATTGATGATAGAAATGAGCCAATCAGCGCGCGAGAAATTAGACAGTTTTTGTAAAATCGGGACATCGATGTCGACGTTGCACCTTTTAGAGGCTAGGTCACGTGATTGTTTTGGAGATTCTTGTTGAAATTTCATTCCATGATTAGATGAAGAAA